TTTTCCCACGGTGGGTTGGGGGCAAGCGGAAATCATTGGCCAGGATCGCCAGTAACACCACCAACATCAGCCGTGAGAGTTCAGTGGGCACCATCAGCTACATGGCCCCAGAGGACGGGAGACGGGAGGACTGGCTGTGAGGGTGCTCACTTGTCCAAGGCCGACCTTTTGGCCTTTTGAGTTTCCCATTTTGGTCCATAGTCAAGGTCCCAAAAGGTAATCACCTTCTATTTCCAGGTCCTCGCATGTGAGGGTGCTTTTGAAACATGTTTTTGCGTTTTAGGGGACGCCAAAAAATGTCATGAAACAAGTTGCCCCAACAGTGTGACCTCAAAATGGTTCGGAGGTGCAAACGTAAAAGCAAAAAGAGGAAAAACAACGCGAATACCGAGACAATTAAATGGAGAGAGAGTGCATAGCTGATCAGGTGGCATGTTGCGACAGAAAGGCAACCTGGCCCTGTACATCATGTCCAACGACAGCAAACATTGACCGGCTAGACAATCCTTTCCAGCCCGTTCTGCCCTACCTTCCGCATGCAGGATTGACTAAGTGGCAAAACAAGCCAAACTTGGCACCGGCTCGGTTTGCCTTACACATGATCCACGAACAATACCGAGAAGACACGGTAATTTGGTATGTTCCCCTGATTCTGTGTAAAATTCAGGTTGTCCCTCCATATCCTCTCCAAAGAGCCGCAGTGCCAGTGCTCTTGCCAGTGATTGCCTTTGGACCTCAGCCAACTGTTTGACCGTTGGCGTGTCTAGTCGGGCGGGTTAAAGTAGAACCCCCAAAATTGACAGAACCCCATGGACGCGGAAGTTCCTTGTAACCCTATTTCCGTGTTTTTTGGAATCTCTTTATGTTTGGCGGGGCCCCAATAAAGATGAAGGCATGGCAGAAACAACTTCCTCATCAGTTGGACCAGTTGCCCTATGGGTGAGGCGTTGCAATCTCGAAGTGATCATCCACTTTGCAGAAGCAAATTGTGGTGGCTCGACTCCACCCTGGTCCGTGGTGTTGCCTCACATCATTTTATCACGGGTTAAGTCCCTGCAGATTGCGATTCGAGACTACTTTCCCCGTGCAGAACAAAGGATTGGAAGAGAGACACCCCCTACCAGTTGCAACTTTTCTTTACAGTACCCGTCCAGCCTGTTGATGAACTGAACTTACAGGCGGACTGGACGGCAAAATCCATCATTCGCATCGCCTGTGAAATCCTAGCATGGTTTCAACGAGATAGTTTTATTCCAAATCAGCCTAAAATCAGCGATGGGTTCCGGCTCTGTTCTTGGAGATTGCAAGTCCTTACCTTGCCAAAGTCTAAGCCTTAACTTTTAGTTCAACTTTTCCTAGCCAACTCAGCAGGTTAGAGCATGAAACCCTTGGTCACGTTTGTCCGGGTTTGGACTTTTCCTGTGGGGAGTTCGACAATGACCTTTCGGAATCGTGTTGCTGAGGTTTGTGTTGGGCATAGATGCCTCCTTCCACGGCTTCTTTTGCCGCGGGCATGACCTCCAAAGGAACAAGTAGCGAAAAGGCATCCCAATTTGGGACCTTTTCGTTTCCGACGGCTTCTTTTGGGACTCCTCTATTTTTCAAGCGCCCTTTGCGGCAGGCTGTGAAGCAGGGCGCGGTGAAGATCGGCCGGCCTTCGGATGTTTGGTCCTTGGGCATCATCCTGTGCCTTCAGCTGTGCTCAGCGGATTGCATGCCAGCTACAAGTGGGGTAGACCTGACAGGGTCGATCGTCTTGAATTGGAGTCAGTCTCCTTTTTTGGTTGTAAAGGAAACCAAGAGGTAGTTTACTCCCAGAAACCTAGCACCTGAAGGGTGCCCGGAGATTCTAGGGACCCCCTGTCACATGTCAGGCCTCAACCTCGGCCGGACCTCAAAAATCGGGAACTTGTTTCGACTTCCCCACGCGTGAGATGAGTGAGTTCACCTGCACGCAAGGAGTCGAGAGACTTGACGAATGATTCTCCAGGTACCAGATGGTCTACATGCGGGCGCCCTTCGCCCACTTAGATCCCATGCAGAGGCTTTTCGCCTTGACCGCGGGGATCCCTAGCGTACCCACCGGGTACTGTCGGAGTCGGGGCGGACTCCAAAAATGTGAACTGGATGCACACTCAAAGAGCACACCCCCTATCAACCAGGAGTCCAGAGGTTTGTTCATCTTGTCCCATGAAGTACCTGCTTTTCAGTACAGGAATTGGACAGGAGGTAGTGTTGCATGGCTGCAACATGTTGACGGTTTCGCTGAAATATATTTTCTTATGGTAGGCGCTTTGCTGGGTTTTTGTCCAACTTGCTCTAGCCGGTCGAAAGCTGCACAAGAGAGCACATGAAAGTTTCCAAACAGGTGCCCCTGAGCAAGAATGAAAACGAGGGTCAGACTTTTTCTTCTTCTTCTTTTTTCCCCTTCCAAGTCCGTTGCCCTCTTTCCAACATTTGTAGACACAAACAGAAGGGTTTGAAAAGACCATTATTATTTAAGTGTACCTCCTGCAAAGACGATATGTCACAAAACCAGTCATACAAATTCTCACTGGCGTTGGCAAACTTTGCACTTTTCCTTCAAGGCCCAAAAAGTTTGAGAGAACTTTTTCCGGCCAGTCAACTTTGCCCGAAACACCGCCCTGGGATTCAAAAACATGAAGAAACAATGGTTGGGTTCATAAAAACCGCCATTGTTTTCCTAGGGATTGTCATCTAAGTTTGGTCACCCCAAGGATCCCAACGTGTCGGTGGAGTTTCCGGAGAAGCACCGATTCGAGAACCACTCCCCGGCCGCGAAGGCGGGACGGGCGCTGATTCCGGGCCTCGGGTTTCTCACTGGTTTCAAGCATCCAGAAGGCCCCCTAGATATCCAGCTGTTGGGGACAAAGAGTAACACAGAAACACGCTGTGTGTCTTCTTTTGAGGGCGCCCACCCCTTGTGTTTGGGGTTTTAAAGGGACACCGGCCATTTTGGGGGTTCTATTCAAAAAATATGTTTCTCAATGGTTTCACCTAAGGCAAGTCGCAGGATTTGTTTCATTTAGTCTGAAGTCAGAAACAAACCAAGCCTCAAAGATCGGTCGACCTCCTTCTCCTGCTGCCAGGATAGCTTGCTGGACGTGCTGCAGAGGCGAAGGGTGGAAAAGGCTTCAAGCTCGCGGGGTCTTTGGGACATGGCCTCCCCAGAAAAGATGGTTCCCCAAAGTGGAAGAGAAAAGCAAGGGCACCCCCTTTGGCCCCAAATTGAACAAGCCAGGACCTTTCTTGGAAGGCGCAGGCATCATATGAAATTCTTGTTTGGCTCGACTACAATATGTGTGGCTCGCCTTTTTAGGGGAGTCGGCACACCCTTTTTGGCGGTTTTCAAGAAAAGCCAACCGGAAAACCGAAGCCATTTTTTTTTTTTAACACACCCACATCCTTCCTGGTGGGGGTAGATCCCTATTCACAAGGATTCTACGAATTTAGGGCGAGATGAGTGGTTGTTGGATCCCTGTTGAAGCACTACTCCGCAACGACAAGAGCTATAAGTTCTCCGCGAAGCAGTTCTTGTGCGCTTGGAAGCGGCGGAAGGTGCTTGCAGCGGGAGCCGAGCAAGCGCCCCACCATCCCGGAGCTGCTGGAGTTTCCACGGCATGATTCTAGGGCCTTGGTCAAGGGTTGCCATCATACCAAAAAGGGGGGGGGGGTATTTGGAGTAGGGGGGTGGCAGCGGCTCTCTCAAGGGCATGAAAAGGGAAACAGGGCTTTTTCGGATAAATCGGGGTATGGGGCAAGCAAGGAAAGGCGACTCCGACGAAATGTGGGCGGGTTCACCCAGGTGCTGTTTGGGACCTACTCAGAGGAGCCTCCCTAAGCATTTTGGGAGCGCCAGAGTCTTTGCGAACCTTTGGCTTTTACCCTGTGCCCTCACTCAAATCCACGAACCAACGCCGCTTGCAGGTGACCAAGCGATTGCTGCACGTGTATTGATATCTTTGTCCACGATGCTATCAAGTTGTACCAAAACTGGTTTAGTTTTGCGGTGTCTTTGGTGCCTCTTGAGTACGGCCTCGTGTGTTTCAAAACCACTCTAGCAGCACGTACGATCATCACTTGTTCTGCTTGTTCTGCATGGATCACGTTTCCTGGTGATGTTACCCAAAACGCCAGGGTCAACTGAAGGTCCGAGACCTCGGGGAAGCACCCCTGAGTGGCCAAACCTCAAGGAAGCCATTCGCCCGTGAGGTTTCAACATGTTTCAAACGCGTAGGCGCACAGCCGCTCTTCTCATCTTTCGTCCAATCATTATCCTTTTCCTTCATCAAATAAGACATTTCTATGGAATATTGGATAGACGAAGGAATGGAGAAAGATGTAGAGGTGTCCAAGGTAATAGACGGTAAGTGATAGAAATAGCTATCTTATGTTCTCATGTTTGTTTACCATTCCATCTTTAGTTGACAGCTATTACAGAAAGGATTTTGATGGAGAATAGATTCCTAAGTAAAAAAAACATCCTGTAATTCCTGGTAAGATAGACTGGGGTTTCTTCTTCCTCTTGACCATCACTCACTACAGAGAAACAGACAGTGTATAGGTGAGTGAAATGGTTGGAAGAAGAGAGTGTAAGCCGTTCGTTTCCTTCGTCCCTCCAACCTTGAATGCGAGTCCCTCACCTCCCTTCGTTCGTTGATATGATGGATTGACCGGAATGAAATGAAGGGAAAGGAATGGATTTCTCTTTCACCAGCTCTCTCTCATAGACCACGTCCTAATGTTGGAGAGAGCTTGTGGTGAAGAGCGAAGAGTTGGCTGCCTCAATGTCCGGTGGTGCCAGGCACCCCTTTGCACAAGACACCGTGAGGCTCAGATATCAATCGATCGGGGGGGGGGGGTGGAGAACTCAGAGGCGGTTGGGACATTCCTAGCTTGGGTATGGGTCAAAAATAAGCCGCCAGGGGACCGCAGGTTTTCGGCCTTGTTTCCATTTACCAGAGCTCCATTTTGGGTACCTATTTTTGACCCAAACCCCATACAACACGTTGAGGAGGATCCCGGATTTGCCAACATATTTTTGGGTGGGTAGATCCCGTTGGGCGGTCCGTTTCGGGGTTGGAGACCTGGATCCTCGGATTCGGCTCGGATTCGGCTCGGCCCTAGGCAAGGCTACTTTCGGGCCCGAAATGCTGAGAGACAGCGGCAATGGGGTTATGTTAGGGGCACCATGGGGTCGCTTCAGCGCCGGTTTGTTCTCAGCTTCTCCTCTTGCTTCCCCTCTTGAGGTTCAAGCCACGAGAGGTTGCGGCAAGGGGACGCCAGTGAGCCCGGGCATATTTGGATGGTTCTCAAAATTAGGGACGGATTCCTCCAGGTGCCACTGGTTTCCTCATGATGCTTTTAAAACCGTACAAGAAGTCTTCTCATATTTGAGACAGACCCATTTTTCCTCAGCCTGCCTAAGTTGGCAGGTTTCTTGCCATCGCAGGCTTACTCGGGCTTCCTTCGACCATGCGCTGGAGGACGGGGCACGGGGATCTCCGGGTCTCAAGGAACTGCTTGGTGGTCTTCTTTATTTAGGGGGGTCTCAAGATGGTGTTTGTTTCCTTTAGCTTTTCTTTATCAGCCAAAAGATGAACAAAGGGAAAGTCTCAAAATAGGGAACCAACCTTTTTAGACATGGCTGAGAATTCCGGAGGGGTTGGATGGGGTTTCGAGTTGTGTTTCTTCTTTTTTCCCCTTTTTCCGGGGTTTTGGGTCGGAGGGGTTGTTGCGCATGGCTTCGGACAATTCGGGCATAGGTTTGCTCTGGGAGGGTTCCAGGGATGGATGAAGTCTGGGCTTGTTTTTGGAGGCTCAGCCTTTCCGCATTTCCGGCGCTTTGAAGAAAACCAAAGGGGGAAGCCACCAATTGGTGGGGGGGGGTCCTTTGAGACCCCCGCGGCATGGGATTGATAGCTTTCTGGACGCAGACAGCTTTTACTCGGCATGGGTTTCCCTTCAAAACCATCCGAAGGGTGTGAACGAAGACCAATAGAAGCAATCGCCAGTAAAACCCCGGGGTAGGTGGCATGTGGCAGCTGAGAATCAACGAAGCTTCAACGAAGCTTCAGCTTCCACCCCCCAAACTGCTACCCCCCGGGGTTTGGCCAGAAATGGGTCCATCTCAAAATAGGGGCACTCTTTTGGCATGGTGATTTGTCCAGGAAGCCGAAAGGAAATCGTTGCCATCTGCAAAAATCTGAATCTTGATTGAAACTGCCATACTGTGAATGGACGAAATCCTGCACCACTTTGGAACCATGTTGAAACCATTGTTTGTTGCATTTACGGGGGAATTCATGACCATTCCAGGGTTTCTGAACGGTGCGAAATGGATTTCGCAACCATCCACAGTATGCAACCACGAGTCACAACTCCAATACCCTGCACCATAAGCCCACCAGGCGCCACAAGCACACGCCACTACCAGAAAAAGACATACTGTTCCAGGGCTTGATTTCCCATTCTTTTCCATCATCGTCTGGGGGTTACCGGGGTTGGATGGAGGCGGAAGGCATCGCCTCGCCTCAGGCCCTCATCTCCGGCTTCGTCGGCGCAGCGGAGGATGCCCTGGCCTCGGAGCCCCAAGGCGAAGGCGGCCGGCCGGGCGGGGGGCCGGGCCGGTGGGCGGATGGACCGGAGGTCGGGCGTGCCTTGGGGCTTGTCATCCTTTGGTTCTTGCCAGTTTGTGTCTTGTTTTGTGTTGGCTTTTCGACTCCTCGATTTGCCAGCTTCTTGTTTTCTTGCAGCGTTTCTCGATTTCTTTTGGTTTTCTGTTTGTTTGGGCACGCAACATGTGACCAGGGCGAAATGAAAGCTCATTCCGTGGGTCCCAAGGGAGGAAGCCAAGCATGGCCATCGGCGGACGTAGGCCCACCACGGCCTGTTCGGAAAACCCATAAAGTAGAAAAAACGGGTCATGACCCCTCAATTTTGGGTAATGACCCCATCTTTAAAGAGCATGGAGACTCCAGGTACTTCCATTAAGCGTATGTTTTATGTTTCCCTGTTAGTTTTAAGGGGAATCTATCATTGCTGGGCAGACTTATGTCTTTTTCTTCTTTTTTTCCATCGGACTTAAGCAATAAGTTTGGCTCCCAAAGTTTGTTTTTGCCACATGTCTTTTTTGTGCACGGAAGAGGAGGCCAAGAAATATTTAGAACTTCGGATTAATCCGAAGAATCCTAGTCAGAGAACCGTCCGAAAGTAGTTACTTTCCTTACAAAAGGGTTTCGCAAAAATATAACAGTCAGGATTAGTCCGAAGTCAACATTGCAGGGTAAATAAGTGCTTTGCATGCCTATCGCTTCACGTGGAGCGTCAATGTGGAAGTTGATACAGGTGGTTCACATTCAGATCAACTAAAAGCAGCAGGAGGACAACAAGCCGCTTAAAATGTTGTCCACCACGTCTAGTAAAGTTAACTTCCTATGAATCTGGAGACGGTACTAATCAGGGGTCCCCGGGGTAGTTCTTTTAGTAAGGACATTATATGTTTTTGTTGGAGTTCCCTTGACTAGCAGGGTCCTCCTGATGAACACGAAGTTCACCATACGGTGTAACATGCAAAGCGTCAATTTTTCACATCCTGGCGGATTACAGGGGTCAACCATGATGGGTTAGTTGATTCCGGTGGGGTCCACTGTCATGGGCGACTTGTTCATGGGTCGCTTTAGGTTTCTCACGCCTGAGTCCAATAATTTTGGGCGGACCGTTTGGTGGTAAATCATATATTTGGGGTCCGTTTTTTAAGTGCTGACTGACTGAATCGGAAGTGAGGTCTGTCAATTCATGGGTCACTTGTTTGTTTGCTCTTTTTTTCCCGGAGAAAACCAAACACACACACACACACAAAACAAACAAACAAACAAACAAACAACAAAAAACACCACCATGTGGGAGCCTGGCGCCCAAAAGACCCGCCCGGAGAGTTGGCCATGTTCGGCCAGGACCCAGCGCTTTCTCCTGGCAGGTCCTGGCAGACGAGGCGCGAGGCATCACATAAGCAGCTTTAGCAGGGTAACCGGTGCTGGGGTGAGTCTCCTTATTAAAAAAAAACAAAACAAAAAACAGGGCTCCTTAAAAGATACATTTTGCCCATTTGAAACATGGCATTTTCCACCAAAATAAAGGGAAACCACCATTTACAAGGCAATGTTCAGGTGTATAATGTAAGGATCCCTGTAAAAGCCATAAAGGCCTATGGTCACAGACCTGCCTTAAGTTGGTTGAACACCCCAAAAAGCCCATGGGAACAGACCTGCCTGAAGTTGGTTCAGCACCTTTAACTGGTCGGCCCTCGGCAAGATCCTGATCCTGGCGTCCGCCTTGAGGAGTCCTGAATTCGGGGGTTGGACAGGGCGGGAAGGATCACCATGATCTTATGGCGGTTTTCGTCGGGGAAGAGACCTGGTGGGAAAGCCCTTCCCGTGGGAAAAGGGCTGGAGGTTCGAGTCAAAACCAGGTGACGTCCGGATGTCCACCGGCACATACCTCTTCATACCCCTGGTCCTGGTTGCCGACCCTACTTTTGTTCCTCTGTGGAAGCGCACATCGGGGTTGATCAAAAGGTCCTTTACATGGGATGACCATTGAGGAAAACCGCTAAAAAGATGATAATGCGCGCTACATGGAAAAAGTTACCCTTGGAATTTTTTTGGGCCAGGAATATTGATCAACCCTCACATGTTGACCACGGTTGATTTGAGACATCCCCGTTGTTCCGGCTGCAGAGCCTCGCCGAAGAAGCGGCATGTCTTCCCCTGCGCAGGTGTGGTCGCGCCTGGGCGACGGCTGCACGAAACAGGCTCGGAGCTCGGTTTTCCTTCACCGAGGTCGCCCGCTGGACATGTGAGACATGTGAGCGCTGGCCTGTAAATTCGGCCTGGGAGGTTTTATTTTTGCCGGCCGGACAGGGCCTTTTCTTCTGTGAAATGAATTCTCGCATTCAGAAGGAACCAAGGGCCAACCGCGGAGATGTATGGCTTTCATTCTTTATCACTAGGTTTTGGTAAACCCCTTTCATACAAGATTTTGATTGGGACGCACTTGGGAAGAATCCGGGATCGGACCTTCCTGGACAAACAAAAACAAGCCTTTTTTTTTTGGGGGGGGGGGGCCCTTTGGGTTGGTTTTAGAAAAGAGCAAAAAGGAGACCAGCCTTTTTTCAGGTCCCAAATTTGGGAGACGCGTAGTACTTTCTCTTGGAGGCATGAGCTCGCATCAAAGACATGGGGATGGACAAGGGGTCACTGTTCCGCTGTGAAAGGCGGCGGGTCCCGGGCCTGCAGTTTGAGAGACACCCTCTGCTTCTGGCTCAGCATGTTTCCGGATCGTGAAGCGATGGCGGAGTCAGAGGAATGTTCCGAGGGCAGTTCCCTCCATGAGGCAGCGAACAGAAAAAGGTCCAAGAAATTGGCCGACTTCATGTCAAACATGAAGCTAGCTCGTCCTGAAATTCTGAGGGTGATCCCTGCTTACAAGGCGTTGGAAGGGTGCGGGGAAGCGTGGAGATTTCGGCGAAATGACCGAGAATTTTGCAAGCACAGCCAGGTGGCAGAGCGACCCGGTTGCCCTGTGGTTTTTGGAAGGGTTTGCCTGGCGAAAACAAAAGGGTGCCCAATCCTTGGATGGCTCGTCTTTTTTTTTTTCTGGCAAGTTTTTTTTCCCCCCCAAAGGGAAACCAAAAGGACAGCCACAGTGGGATCTGAGGCGAATCCAGGAGTTCTGGAGCCATTCTTGGCACGGGGACGCTTGGAAGAAGTACTTGACTCTTTTAGTGCTGAAGAACGGAGTGCCGGCGGTGGTCTCGGGCACTTTGGCCGCTTTGCTGGGCCTGGGCCTGTTTCTGACGGGCATCCTCCCAAGGTGGGCAAACCAAGCCGAAATTCAATCATATTTGCGTATGTGTGTGTGTGTGTGTGTGCGTGCGTGCGTGCGTGCGTGCGTGCGTGCGTGCGGGCGGGCGGGCGGG